TCTTTGAGATGAAGGAAGTTGTGAGGTTTGTCAGGTCCCTCCCATGGCTTGTGAGACTCATCTGAGAAGATGGAGTCTTAACTGAGAAAATGTCTCCATGAGGTGGACCTATAGGCAAGTTTGTGAGGTGTTGTCTTGATTAATGATTGATGCAGGAGATCCTGGCTCACTTGACAGTGCCATCCCTGGGCAGGTCGTTCTGGGTCGTATAAGAAAGCAGGCCATAAGGAGCCAGCCAGGAAAGCAGCACCCCTCCATGGCCTCTGCTTCAGCTCCCACTTCCAGGTTCCTTCCCTGTTTGAGTTCCTGCCCCGACTTTCCTCAGTGACGGACTGTTACCTGGAAGTCTAAAAGGAAATAAACCCTTTCCACATGAAGTTGATTTTGGTCATGATCTTTATCAAACTAACTAAGACAAAATTGGTGCCAGGACATGGTACAGTATGGCTGTGACAGACTTAACCATGGGTTTCTAAGAGACTGTGGAAGGACTTTGGGATTTTGGGGAGCCATAAGGTGCTCAGAGCTTAATGACCTGTGGTGGAAACTTGGAGCTGTTATTGAGAGCAGTGCGGAGAACGGAGCCCTGGATTTGAAAGTTTTAGGGGGAAGCACACTCTCCTGGGGCTGTTTGTGTGATAGTTGGTGTTAGAAATCTGTGGTTTCTGGTGAGCTAGAGCTGAAGAATTGGCTGCGATTAACAAGAAGGCAGCACCACCGAGAAAAAAAAAAAAAAAAACCCTTTGCTTTATCGGGGCAATTGATGCTGGTTAGTGAGAGCTGAGAAATTAGCAGTGATGCTGAAAAGACCAGTATCACTGAAGCGAAATCTTCTGGGAAGTCTTTCCTCAGGGTCAGCACACAAAAGCTGTGGTCCAGAGTGGGCCAAGGCTGGACCTTGTCCTTGCAGGTGAACTTGGTAATGTGTAAGAGTTTGCAAGGTGTTGCTGGTTTTGAAGGCATGAAGGGTGAGAGACCAGGAGAGTCCACTGATGATGATACAATGTCTGTTGTAGTAGAAGCCTCAGGACTACAAGCCTCAGAGGTCATGGAGTGAAGTTGAGGCTTGGCACCATGTAGCAGCATCAGAGTCCCTAGAGAGACTGCAGGAAGCCATTAGTGAAGGTGCAGCCCAGTTGCAGCAGAGACCCTAGAGTTTTGGAGATGCTGGTACCATGGGTCCTGAGTTGTGTGAGAGGAGGGAATGTGAGCTGAGCACAAGCATGCTTGTGTTAATTCTCTCTCGACTTTGTGGGTGGACTAGCTGCTCCAAGTCCCTGCTGCCATGATTTTCCCACAATGATGGACACTACTTTGTCACCTAAAGTCAACCTTCTCTCTCCAAAGTTGCTTTTGTTAGTATACTTCATCACACCAATCACAAAGAAGCTAAGACAACAACATCTCCCTGGGAAAAATCACACAACACGAACATTGCGGTTGCAGCATTATTCTGTAACATTCCAGTTCACCAGAGTATCACTGGTATTTCATACTGGTTTTTTTTGTTTTTGTTTTTGTTTTTTGTTTTGCCTTCACTCTAAATAAACTTTCATCTGTTAATATATACATGCGTTTGTTTAGTTTTGAGGTGGGGGTCTCACTAGGTAACCCTGGCTGGCCTGGAACTTACTCTGTAGACCAGGATTGCCTCAAACTCACAGAGATCCACCTGTCTCTGCTAGGATTAAAGGTGTGTACCATCATGCTACTCTGCCTTCCTATTTTTAACAATGAGGGCATATAAAATAAAACTATAGTCTTCTTTTAGCATATGTATTCATATGTACATATAAAGATATGGAGAGGAGCTATTTGTCTTATTTTAATTTCATTTAACATAAAGATGTATCTTTCTTTCATACATCTTGCTGGTTCCTCTAAACTTCCAAATGCAAATGTGAAGCTCCTTTTGGAGGTTCTGGGGGGCGGTGTGGGGGAAAGATAAGCAAAAATGATCACTGCATTTGTTACCTCCAGATTGCTAAGCACTCTTAATGGATCTTAGGGGAAAAAAGAATTATTTTATAACTTATTAATATATGTGTGCATGTGTGTTGGGGCAGTTGTTCACAAAGGCCAGAAAATGGAATCAGACCAGCTGGAGCTGGAGTTACAGGAGGTTGAGCAATATGCAATTATTTGTCTTGTATTTTGGAGGAGAGCTTGTGGCATGACTCTGATCACTGTACCCCTAAAATGTTCCTGATACAACTGACCCCTGCATCTTTGTTAGGATTGCAAGGCAAGGCAAGGTGAAGGGGTAGGGGGCATCTCCCACCACAAATGAGGAATGGACCACTTCTGCAGGTCCAGTGGACTCAATGCAGTTTGACCTGCCAAGGACATCAGGAATGGACCAAACGTTCTCAGATGCTGGGGTCCTGATGCATCCCTGTTTAGTGTCCTGGACTTGCTAGAGCAGATTTTCTGGGGCTCGGCATTTGGCTTTCTCTGAATAATGAGGGACCTTTTAATGCAGTCCCAAGCTTGACTCTTCTGTGGGTTTGCCTTCTCACTGCAGGAGGTTAGCTTTTATTAACCATTGCCAAGAATGCTCCCAAGCTCTCATAATTTTGGTTTAAAATGCTTATTAACCACACATAACCTGCCATTAACTGGCTTTGATGGACAGAATAGCCTGCAGTAACAGTCATCCCATGCCACAGTCTTTTGGGACCCCGAGCCCCATGTTTATCCAGCTTCCTGTGGCCTCACCCATAGCCGGTTACAGAGGTACCAGGGCTGTCCAACAGCTTCAAGTGCTCTCAGTGGCTGAACTGTCTCTCTAGCTGATTAATGACTGTTGTTGGCAGTGGCTGTGACAGCTATCGATGGCTTGTTCACCTCACCATCACAGAGCCCCTTTTCCTCCTTTGTTAACAGAACCTTGATTTGGGGCAGGGGCCACATACATGGCTCTAGGATATAAATCGTGACTGGACTGGGGAAATCGTGAGAACCCTGTTGTCTTTCAAGTGGTTGATCCAGGGGTAGCCATGTGACCTGCTTCTGGCTAAAAACTCAAGGATCTTTGCTGGGAACGTCAAGAAAAGAGTTTATTTCCCTTTGAGAAACATGTCTGTGCGGAAAAGCCCTTCCTCCTTTTCTGTTTTAAGCACAGTTGGGAAAGGACTTCATTTCTGGAGGTAGAGTAGCTACCATGCGACCAGGGAGTTATGAATGTAAAGATAAAAGCGAATGTCTAGTGGGAAGAGCTTGGGCCTTTAAGGACTTAGTTGAATCACCAGACCCAGGACATTGACTGTGCAGCCCTGGTTTCTCTACAGGAGTCTGCACCTTTACCTGCAAGAAGGATGTTTGGAAACAAGTGTGTTACAGGCAAACTCATACCCTTCCCCAAATTCCTAGTGGAAACCCCCAGCCTTCTGTACTTCAGACTGTGACTATATTTGAAGGTAGATATGTAAAGAAACAATTGGCAGCCTAAGGCAGTGGCTCAGTCAGCAAAGGGTTTGCCTTGTAAGGACGAGGACCTGAGATTGAACCCCAGAACCCACGCGAGAAAAGCTGGGTGTGGTGTGTGCTTGCAATCCCAGAGCCAGCTTAGCGTGCATGGTGAGTCCTAGGCCTAAGGGAGATCCTGTCTCAAAAACCAAAAGTGGATGGTGTGTAAGGAATGGTGTCTGAAGTTGTCTTCTGGCTTCCACACACATGGGAAAACATGTGTACATACATACACACAAATTTGCATACACACCCACATGAACATGCACACAGACGCGCGCGCGCGCACACACACACACACACACACACACACACACACACGCGCGCGCACACACACACACACACACACACACACACACATGCATAGGCAAGCACACATACAAAATGAAATGAGTGGGTTTAAAAGAGGTCACTGAGGTGAGCCCGAATCTAGTATCGCCAAGGTCTACATAGATATGAAAAGGACGGTCATTTGAGGACAGACCAGGATGGAAACAACCGACAAGGTGTCGGAAGAGAGAAGGGACAAACCCTAATGACTCCTTGATCTCAGACTTCGGCCTCCAGGATCAGGAGGAAGTACACATGTTTTTAAAGCCACTCTGTCTGTAGTATTTTGCTGGGGCAGCCCCAGCGACTGACACACAGAGAAACGGAGGATGCCGGCGCAGACGCAGGAGGATGAGGATGCGGAGTCAGAGCGCCCTCCTTTATTTACGGAAGAGTGTTAAGTGTATTTGCATGCTGAGGTAAAAAACAGAGCAGCTTTTTGGTACTCAACCCGGGGTGGTTTTCACGTTTTCTCACCATGTCTGCTTCTTGGCCTGGCAGGACACGAACCATGCCGGTTTGACGGCTGCAACATGGCGAGGGGTTTCATCTGAGGAGGCGCTGGTGTGACACTAGAGGCGGCTTTGGTTGGTAGACGGGCCCCACCCCTGAACTGGCAAAGAGGGCCTAGGTGTAAAATAAATCTATTTCCTCAAAAGTTAGGTTAATTAAACATCTTGACCATTTTTGAAATTCAGTGAGTTGTATTCATGGTTCCAATTCACTTAGGCTGAGTAAGCAAAATAATTCTTGCTTTGTACTTCATAAACATTATTTCAACTTATTTTCCTTGAATTAAGTAGATTCCACACAGTAGCATATGGCTAATTTTCATAACTGGGTCACATTAGAATTCCTTAACAAAGCTCAATACGTGTCTACACACCAGAAAAGCAAATAATCCCTTTCACGCTAAGAATTAGAATACATTTAGCAATTAGGATTTAGAGGTTCAGTGCTTTTCCACCGTGGCGCCTGTGAAGTCTAAGTTTCATATGATAACACTTTGCTTCAGTTTGGCTTTGGTTTCTGTTCGTTTTGCCTTTCAGTGAACAAAGTGTCGTGATTTGAACACACTCGTCACAAGAACCTGCTCTTTCAATGACCTTCGTGTATTCTGTTCATTTGTAAACAGGGAAATTACATCTGTTCATTTACTACATAATAAAATATTTATCCCACATTGGCAGCTACTGCTCTGGGCACTTTCAGAACCGAATAAAACCAGTGTAAACTTACACAACACCAAGACCATTTCAGTTAGGCAAACCCTCCGTACCTACCAAGCCCAAGAATTAATAAAAATTAGGAAATTTTAAGCTTTCACCTTTATATATCATTTATTAAGGAAATGCAGAGAAAAGGAAAAATTAGTTGAAATGGTAAATATTTTATTAGAATTATTGTTGGTATAAATATAGTGTCACAAAATATTTTAAATGTAACTAAAAAACCTGTAGTCCATGAAGCTTTTTTTGGCTTTACAAGGAAGGTTTTCTGAGAAGGGAGCCCACAAATAAATGACTTTCAAGATTGAATTTTACAGTATCTGTTTGGAGTTCACATCCATACCTTCAGTAGTTTACCCATATTCTGATTTAAACGTGGTCTGACTGGGGGGCACGAGCTAGGAAGAATATTTTTCCAAAAGGTCTCTCATCTGAGGTAAGCTCCAACAAAACTGAATTTCTTTGCTATTGTCACAATTTACAGCTTTATTCTCAGCTCCACCCCACCCCGCTTCACCTGCCCTTTTCACTGCCTGACAGACTCTACAAACAGCATCTGACAGTTGGAGCCTTAAAACTCTAGTCTCGGGGTTGAGTTATAATGGAGGATGTGGGGCTGACAGAGCGGATGTCCCCTGCAAGAGAAAAGACCCAACCACAGTGGTCTCTGTTTCAGTCTTGTGACTCCAGGTGAGCCACTCACCTTTGAGGATCTGGGTGGCTCCACAATTTCTGCCAACGGGATAGTTCTGATGATCAAAGGACGCTGCACAGCAACTGCTCCTTCTCACATTTGTCAATGCTTAACGGATTTGTGATACTCTTTTCAAAAGCTGTCCTTTCCCTGGGCTGTGATACTCTGAGTCACAAGGACTGCGACTGATTTAGTCTGAATTATTATCTACTAGCTCACAACTGTCATATCATTGTATACTACTTCCTGGATGAGAAAATAAACAAATGAAGCAAAAGTAAATAGTATGTGTCATGGCAATGTTTTGACATTAACTACATAAAAGGCAGGTGTTGTTTTTCATTCGCTCATTAAACAATTCTGGAAGGCCTTGTTAAGCAGAGCCTGAAGGTCTTTTGCCCATAGCTGCATTTTTTTTTTTTTAAACATGAGAAGTTCATGACCAAGCACTCACAGGAGAAGTCACGGCACCTGCGCTGTCAGGCACAGTGAACAGGAAAAGATATGGTCAGCACGAAAGAACTTCGCTTTGCCTTTAGGAGCACTTTGCTGGTTAGAAGTACAAGAGACACTCAAAACTGGACACTTCATGAATACGTCGGGCTCAAATGTGCTTTCTCTCTTCTGCCTGGCTTTTCTTTCTCACTTTCCAATGAATCCACCCACGTGCTTTAATTCTTTAAGGGATGGCATTAAGACAGGAACGTTAAATAAGTGCCAGCTTAGTGTGTGGTTGGCATCACTTCTTCCAAATGCAGGAGGAGTTTAACCTTTGGAATTCCTTCGAGAATAGGAGAAAAATTGGTTCTTCTGATATAAAATAATGACTATAAACTGAATCCAATGAGTTCAGTGACTCGTTTAACCTCCCAGTATGTTAATAGCTTGCTAAATTCTGGATCAGGCTCTAAAGGGCATACCAGATAGGTTTGCTAGCATTGTTGCTCTCAGAGAGCATAACTTTACTCTCAGAGAGTAAAACAAGGTAAGACACACAAAGAAATACTTGGTAATAATTGTGGAAAACATATATCCTAAGGAAGGAGTTAATTTATGCATTGTCAAATATGCAGAGGCAAATTGCCATTATTCTAAGTGGATCATCATGACGGCCTCCAGAGGTGTTAAAATTGCCCTGAAACAATTAAGAAAATGTTTCCAATGGAAAAATCAGTCATTTCCTAGTTCTTACCCAAGCTCCTACCACTTAGATCCCACAAATGACCTCAGAGGCTTTTGTACATTGACGATGACTCATCTTATCTTCTGTGAAGTATTCTCTGGAACCACTGTTTATCACTAAACACAGTCCACATCCCCACAGCCTCTGTTCCAATCCAACATTAATGTTGCGTGGGCATGGAAATGCTCTCATTTACCTGTCTTCACCAATCTTATTCTGGCACTTGGAACGCCGTTTGTAGTTGAGTTGTTGGTTCCTCTTGTCACATGAGAAGGGCTTAAGCACAATAACCAAGTAGTTTTCATTTTAGCCTGAAGGATCATAGATCTGCTCCCCTGGGACTTATGCAGTAGTTCCAACCACGAGCTAAGCGCAATCCCTATTGTCAGACTCGCTTTACTATTCTTTCAAATGAAACTTTAATCAACTTGGCATTTACAGTAAGGGGTGTCTTGCTGACAGCACTGTATGGCAGACCGCAATCTCTATTCAGTATGTGAATGTCAGATACATATGTATATTGTATAGAGAAAGGCAGAATGAAGGAGGGAGGTTTGGGGAGGGGGGCTAATCAAGACTCTGCTCTTAAAGTCCTTTAGGGCCCAAGATAACTGAAGCTCTCTCACAAGTTAGAACTTTTTCCTTTATACTGTTCTTAGGTTTGGGGGAAAGAAAACAGGGTTCTTCAGGAAACAAAAGTTGAGAGACAGCTGGTCAACCAGGAAAAAAATAGTTTAGAACTTTAGTTTGTTGAGATGTAATATGAATGATTTTGAGAGCTTTATTAGGCAGCTTCCCAGAACTTTTAGGATGACAAGACTACTTTTTTTCCACTAAGAAATGTTTAGCAGTTATGATGTGCAAAATGGGGGCTTTGCTGTATTGCCACAAAGAAAAAAACTGCTTTCCCCTCTCTTCTGTCTCCTCACTGGAGCTTTCCAAATTTCATCAGAACTTCCCTTTGAAAAATCCCCAGTTCAAAAGTAATCAGGTGCTATCCAAGTAGATTCCCATTTCACAAACTGTATCAACATGGTTTCTGCTATATGGCTCTCAGTTTTGGCTATTATATACTTATAAGACATGATTTCTTATGCATCAAATTCCTCGTAGTTCATGGAAATCATTGAAACCACATGACTTTGTTTACATGGGATACCTTGAGTAGTCGCACATAGAAATAGAAGGGAGAACGACGGTTTCCAGGGCCTGTCTGTCCATGGAAGGAGGCGGACAATGAGAAGGAGGGACCACTTCTTAAAAGAAAGGGACATTTAGATTTGTAAGATCAGAACATTACAGAGATTGGCTGTGTAAAATGTGAACACACTTAACACTACTGACCTGTATACTTAGCCACAATTGTGCTTTCCAAGATTGACTTTTCAATATAGTTTTATGTTAAAGTTTACTAAATACAAAAAAAATTAACTGTTTAATATTCAATGGTGTTTAATTTCTTTATAGGGAGTGAAAACTGTGCTGGTAAAGGAACATATTCACCACCTGAGCAGAGCCCACTGAAGCTGTTAAAGTCTCTCAAGTTACTGGCAGTGGAGGGGAACCGTAATCAGAATATATCATATGAAAAAAAAACCTCTATTTTCAATAAATGAAAAAAGTTATTGTCCGTTCAAATATTTAGTGCAGACCTGGAGAGATGGCTTGGACATTGAAGGCTTTGGCTCACAACCAAAAAGACAAGGATTTAGTGCTGGGAAAGCAAGATTGTGTGGACTATAAAGTAAAAGATGCATAGTTTTAAAAAATATTTATTTCTATTATAAAACTAATAAATAATAAACATAGATAAGAAAATAATAAGCAATAAACTGTGTGTCTGTGAGCATGTGCTCATGTGTGCATGCCAGTGCAGGTGTCTACACAGTCCAGAAAAGGGCCTTGGGTCCCCTGGAGCTGGAGTTACCACAGTTCTGAACCAACATATGTGGGGACTTGGACCTGAACATGGGTCCTCCAAAAGAGCTATATGAGCTCCTAGTTTCTCAGCTCTCTCTCCAGCCACAGGCTACTTTTAAATGCTCAGTTATGTTATTTGCCACAAATATGTATTCGAATTCTTACTGATTATATATTAAATGTATATTCCTAAATTAACCTTCCAGTTTAGAAATTAATCACTGACTTTTAACTTTTGGTCCTCCAAACATCTACATCATTGCTATTATAATTTCCTGCATAAAGGACTTCTGGCTAGATTACTACAACACGTTTGTTGTTGTTTGGGAAGAAGGCGTGCCCTGTCATGGGGAGGCTCCATTTCTTTGTTTTCTTCCCTTAACTGAGCCCTGGCATGGCTTTTGACATTTTGCCCTGCAGCTGTGATATAATTCCCTCAGGAACTTGAGGGCATGTGTAAACAGAAAACTACACCAGTCTTGATAATCACGAGTAGTAGCACTAGAAGATGAGGCACACCCTGCCGCACACACTCCTTTCACATCCCCTGGTACGCAACTCTGGGCAGGGACTCCAGGGAAACAGGTAGGAGATTTTCAATTAAGAGATGGCAAAAGGAATATTAACAGTCCTGCCCCATGACCAATTCCATGCTATACGGACGAAGACTGTCCACACTGTACAGAGAGAAGGGTAACCGGCTGGACAAGGTGGTAATTGAAGAGGGAGTTGCAGGAACTCTAGGTGAGAACCACATGCATAGCTAACACTTGTCTTCCTTATGGTCCCACAATGGCACTTGAGAAGCTATTTGTGTGACTAAGAGCAACAATGTAAGAACAAGAGAGCACATGGAGATGGCGTGCCTGAAAGATGAGATCAGGACAATGGAAAGGCCCACTGTAAGGAACAGAAACCATCCCTGGAGAGTTACAGACAACAGTAGCAGCAACACCACCAAATGTCCACAGCACTGCCAAGGATCGGCTGTCAACATCCAGCAGGGGCCTGACTCGCCTTTTTATGTGAATCTGGAGAGAGTAGAGGAGGCGTCAGTGTCTGCTTGAGTGTTGGAAGGGTAGAGAAAATACTGGGGGGACTTTATGGGATGATGTGGTTGGAAGTCCCAAAGAACTCTGGAAAAGGTGCCCAGCCCTTTTTACAGTGCAGGGCAAACAAGTGTGAATATTGCAAGAGTTTTGCCATCCTCCTGAAGGTACCAGCATACCAGGACTAGTGTCTTCTCTGCTTTCTGCTTCCTAGAGTGTTTACGTAACAAAACCCAGAAACAAAAGGATATATTTATATACAGCTAGATATAGACCTTTAATTTGGGGTCAAAGGAAATCAGAAAAGCTAAGGAAATTACCAGACAATTACATAAACAGTCTTTAGAGTAAAGGCAGATGGAGAGCTCGAAGGCAGCCATTCCCACATCTGGGAAGCACAGGGGCCATGGCTCTAAACAGCTTCCACGTGGACCCTGTCGGTCACAGATTCAAACTCCCATGTTTATTCTTTTCCAGCGGTGTTGCTACGAAGAGTGCATAATTGAGTAATTTCCTCCAGATAGCCAGATGTAACAGTATCATTTGGTAAGCTGAGCTGTAAGATGAAAAGGGGAGGCAATTTTTAAGGCTTGCCCTATAAGACAAACACAAAGAAAAATTCTAAGTGTAGTGACCACACTATTTTCACCCGTTTGAATTGCGTGGTGCCTAGAGAAATTTTAAAAGATGTCCTATTTAAGTGTAGGAAACATTGCTAAATGTGTCATCTGAATGGATAATAACCCAGTCTGGATTCTTTTTGCCACAAACCCGTTTCCACATTAGTAGTGAGATAAGGCTAAATGTCACTGTCGTTTCCTTCTGCTTATGCAGTTAGAGTTTACTGTGCTTCACTGCTTCCTGCCAAGGCATCTTTTATATTAGTTCCCACACTGAATGATGTGAAAAGTCTGCCTCCATGGAGGGTTCCAGAACACACTGTCCTTCTTCCCACTGCAATTTTCACTGTTTTCTGGCATAATTCCCCACTCCCCGGCAGCGGCAAGCAATCTTTTCTATGCCCCCAAACCACCCACATACTATGAAATCTGCTAACCTCTGTGTTTTCTATTTTTAAACTAGTTTCCTCACTGGCTAGATTGCCACAGCAGAATCTGGGGGACACCCGAAAATTGCTGCTTTGTCTTTTCCCTTGACCCCAGGATGAAGACTTTCAGACAGGAACTGTCTGTATGGATTTCTTCTGTCAGGAGTATGGGGCTGATGTCTGATTTGAACCCAAGCAGTTGGTCTTCATGCCTTGTGTCTCTCATGGGGTGTGACCCAGTACTGGACTATACTCAGGACTCCAAGGAGGAGCCCTACATCTTACGCAACTGAACCCTGTGTAGAGCCAGCATTAACTAACATGGCCATGGACTGACTACCCAAGGTACACAGATCGACTTCCGTAGCAAAGATGGAGATAAATGGATACAAGTTCCTTGAAGATGATAGCAGAAAGCAGACCTAGAGAAGGTCAAGGCACTGGATGTCGGACGCATTGGCACAGGACAGGATTACAGCTGAGTCCCTGATGTTGATACCACAACAGATGTGGACTCCAGAGCCAGGCAGTCCCCGTTAGCAGGCTCCAGGTTTCCTTGTCATGCTAGTTGAGTAAATCTTTTCCCAAGACTTGGGCTTGCTCAAGAGGAAAGAGAAATCTTATCATGTGGCAGCTAAGATTCCTTCAGAAGGAATCCATTATTTGTATCTAGGAAAGAAATCAACTGTACCCAACACAATAATGAAAAACTTCAGGGATGTGAGATTCATACTTTGTTTTCAACTGTCATTTGAAATTATTTTCTCTCAGTGGTACAGACCTTGCCTTGTCTGTGAGTTACCCCGTATCCCAGCACAGCACTGGAAGAGAGAGAGATTGGAGTCCACATTTCTCTACTGTCTTCGATCCCTAATAATGTAGAAGCAGTGTTGTTAGGTGTCCTGTGTAATTTTCTGTGATCCGACATACAGCCCTGCCTGCTAAGGCTTTTTACCACACCGATACTCTTCTCTGCCTTCTTGTGGGGAGTTCTTTTCCTTGAAGACTTTTATATCTCGATTTTTTTTTTCTGAGATTTCCTCCTTTTTATTGTCCTGTCTTCTTTTATGCCAATATTATCTGTAAAACCCTTTCCCACTTGATTTCACAATTTATTTTTCCTTTCCATTGCTCTGTAAAATGTGCATTTTATAATGTGACCGCATTATAAAAATCCCCAGGCTCTTCCAGACTAAAAGAATGCATGTAGTTTTATTACTGAGGGTTTTTTTTCCAAGTTGATTTCTATTGTAAGTCTGGATGATATATGGGTACCATTTAAGTAGCCTTGGTTTTATCAGTGAAGAGTAACAAGTCAACAAGAATACTGCTTTTCTAACTGTTCTTATAATTTCTGCTACAAATACTTAAAGAGTTTTATCTCTTTTGTCAGATATTTTAAAAGGTTAGTATATTTAATTTAGTTTAATGCTAAGTATTACCACTTTTATGATTCAAGAAAAATTTAACAATAAAAGTTAATTTAAAAGTTAAAAGTTGGCACTGATGGTGCACGCCTTTAATCTTAGTACTCAGGAGACAAAGGCAGGCAGATCTCTGAGTCTGAAGCCAGCCTGGTCTACAGAGCGAGTTCTAGGACAACCAGGGCTACACAGAGAAACCCCATCTTGAAAAAGCAAAAACAAACAAAAGTCAAACAATAGGAACATTTTGAACTTTTTGTAAAAATTACCCTATATTTTTCTAAAATACATCAACTTAGATTGCCATTCTCAGTTTATAAATGTACTAAATGCAATCTTACCTTAAGAAGTGAGAAATTACCGAAGATTATGGTAAGCTGTATGCAACACAAAATTTACCCTTTTAACCCTTTTAAGTGTATAATTCCAAGCTCTTGTATAATGATTGTTGTTGTCCATTTCTATAAATTTGTCATCATCCCAAACAGAAACTCCATGCTCGTTAAACAATAACCTCCCCCGCTTTCAGCCTTTGGCAATGTCTGTTCCTCTGTGTCTGGCACCTATTCCAGCCACAGCACATACACGGGATCATACAGTATTTGTCTTTGTGAAATGTTTTCAAGGATCATCCATGCTGTGGCATCTGTCAGCATCTCCTTCCTTACCATGGCTAAAAAAAAATCTCCATTGTCTGTATACACGTTTCCTTCACACACTCCCTTGGCCTTGGATAGTTCCCCCACCGTATAGTCATTGTGAACCATGCTGCTACGAACAGACCCTCTACCTTCAGATCCATTGGGCAAACACCAAGAAGTGGATCATATGACAATTCTGTGCTTACTGTTTGAAAAAGAATTATGCTTCCAGTTTTTAAGTTTTTTTTTTAATGCTTCCCTTCATGTTCATTTCAATTTTGTTCTCGTTTGAGTGCTTCCAAGTCCATATTGTCTTACACTGCCTTGTCTACGCAACATCAGTTCCTGTTCTCCATTTACCGACTGCTCCTTCTTCTCAGGATATTTTCTTAAATACGAAGGGGACATGTGGTAGACCCTTGTTTATTTTGCCTGCAGAGAGTCCTTTCCCATGATGCATAGACCATCCTTCCAAAACTGTCATCTTCTTCTGAGGGCTAGCTGGACTGGAAGAGCATAGTGTACGCCTGTATTTTTTGGCCATTTAGAATTTTTGGTTTTTTGTTTGTTTGTTTGTTTTTTGTTTTTCGAGACAGGGTTTCTCTGTGTAGTTTTGGTGCCTGTCCTGGATCTTACTCTGAGTTCAAGACCAGGCTGGCCTTGAACTCATAGAGATCAGCCTGGCTCTGTCTCCCGAGTGCTGGGATTAAAGGCATGCGCCACCGCCACCTGGCTTTTCTGGTCATTTAGATACTCCTTGGAACTTGAATTTTCAGAAAAATGAAACTAGAATAAAAAATGCTCAAAGCCACATCACAATAGCTGAAGTTTTCTGAAAGTATTCCCAGAAACTAGTGTTTTCCAGACTGATATATGTCTCCTGATTTTCATTCATACCAAGACCTATTTTAAATACTATTCTTTATTTTAAATCTATATTATACAATTCCAACAAGGGTTTGTGTGTGTAAATTAGCTACAGTTGATGTCTGTTGTTTGAATCTGACTTAGTAGGATACCTATTTACATTATACAATCAATCCATAAACAAATTTTATAGTTCTCCCTAAAATTTATTTATTACTTTTTAACTTTAGTTTTGCTGCTTTTTTTTTTGCTTTTAAACATTTTTTTTTTTTTTTTTTTTTTTTTTTTGTTTTTCGAGACAGGGTTTCTCTGTGTAGCTTTGCGCCTTTCCTGGAACTCACTTGGTAGTCCAGGCTGGCCTCGAACTCACAGAGATCCGCCTGGCTCTGCCTCCCGAGTGCTGGGATTAAAGGCGTGCGCCACCACCGCCCGGCGCTTTTAAACATTTTTTAATTTGTGCAATTAAATCTTTATCAAATCCTTCAAAGCTAAAAAAATTGTTTCCCCCAGTTGTTATAATTTTTCTTCACTTTCTGTTTGGATGATAACTAAATTGTTCCAATTTATGCCCAACTTTTTATCAGTCCCAAATCTACGTTTCCCTTATGTTTGTTAGTAACAAGTGACTTCCCATTGTCTACCGTGTTTTTAAAGTCCCCACTCTCCCAGATCTCTTACTATGCTTGATTTTACAGTATAACCCATACTTTTCACCTACTGAGAAAATCTATCCCAAAGCTCCCAGGAGACCAATGCTGCATTTTAGAAAGTGGTCGAAGCATTTGAATAGTTCCTTTTATTTCTACTCCCAGGGGTTTTTTTTGTTGTTTTTTTTTTTTTTTTTTTTTTTTTTCTTGATTGTGGAGCAAGGACAAGAACTGTACTGGGGATTGGGGAGGTAATGAACTGCTGGAAAGCATGCCTATGTCGGGGTGATGGCTACATGGGAGAATGTGGAGTTACTCAGGGTAGATGGCAGAAAAGCACCCGTGGCCCACCCCGAATTCGTTCATGCTATAGGCACTATTAGCTTGAGTGCTTAGCACAGAGATGCAAAACTAATCATGATAAGGTAGAAGCTTCTCTTCACAAACAATTGTGTACGGGAAGAAACCTCCAGCAGGTCATGGCAGGGCCTCCGATTCAAAGCCAGCCCCAATGAGTTCCTTCTGCTGTCTCTGAAATACTGCCTTGGAATTTTAGGGTTCTCTGGGACAAGATCGGAAAACAACAGATTTAAAAGAAAAAGGGTATACTACATCATCATAATCTATGCCCAGGGAAAGCTAACTGACAGTAGCTTAAATAACACACCTCTCTCTGAGGGAGTTTTAGTTGGAATGATGATCAGAGGAACTGAGACCCTTCAGAGGGATTTCGTAAATCAGGGCGTGTGGAGGAAGAAACTGGTCGGAGAGGGAGGTGTTGGCGGACACAAAGCCAACTCGATTGCTCTAAAATCACGCTGTATGTCTTGTCACCTGCTGCCTGGATGAACTGATGGCCACCAACAATTTATTGCGAGGCATCTTCCCAAGACACTTGATACTTTTCAGGAGGCCACAGCACACCGGTCCCACAAATCAATCCTGCTCACACCAACTGGGGCACTTGAAAACTTTAATAATAAAGACACATTTGAAACGATTCCCGAAAGACTGGGAGAAAAGAGTACAATTTAAATACAAAGACAGACTTCAGGTTTTCTCCAAGTCAATCAAACGGGGCTCACATATTCAAAGGGAAAGTGGAGATTATTTAGTGCCTGAGAGCCTGACAGGGCGCTTTGTTTGTACTCTCAGCCAGAGAACTGAATGTTCCATAATGTCACTGAAGAATAAAATGTCATCTGGTGGAATTAATGGCTGATAAATTTAGAGCGAGTGGAAGAAACTATTACTTTGTGCTACATTTAGCCAACCTGCGAAACCCGCTGCCACGGCAGGTTAGGAAGCTGAACGCACTGCGGTTGGGTTTAAATGGAATGAATAACTTTATGACTAATAAATGCCAGTTCCAACTCTTCACGCTAAGATAAAAGGGTAATCAAAGCGTGTATTTTAGAGCCCGGGCCAGTTGCTGCAGGAATCGGAATCAGGGACCTCTCCCTTGTAAACACTGGTGTATAATTAGCCATACGGAACCCAGGACATATTTTTCACCACTCTGCCAACTAGGCACTGCCCCCTCCAGAAGCCGAGTGCGGACTGGCTGTCTGGAGGGAGAGCTCCTTTGCAGTGAAGCATGGGGGATGGTCACAGAGGTGTGTGGTAAGCCTCCACCCCTCAAGCTACTCAGAACCATCAAGGAAGCCAGCAGAAGCCAGGCTGTTTCTCTGGCCTCGCTCTCCCTACACCGGGCTCTCGTCCTGCTCGCTGGAATCAACAGACTCTCACTTTCTCCCTGAGTGAACAACCCCTTCCTGCCCCACTTCCTGCCGCTTCATTCCAGGCCTCTGACCTCAGCAAATGAAGATTCTCAGAGGGGCTGCTTCAAGTTGCCCGGCATTCTCCCACCCCAACAAAAGAGACGAGGCATAATATATGAAGAATCCCTCAACATTTGCCTTTAGTCAGATGTTCAAAAATCAAAAGCATTGAGGATACAAGTGCAAAATTGTGTGCATAACCCAAGTACAGAACATTTCACTGCCAGAAACAGAACCAGACAGCCTTTTTTTTTTTCATTTATGTGTGCATGTGTGTGTGTGCATTCCTCTCTCTCTCTCTCTCTCTCTCTCTCTCTCTCTCTCTCTCTCTCTGTGTGTGTGTGTGCATGTGTGTCTGTGTGTGTGTGTGTGTGTGTGAAGGCATCAGATCCCACAGAGCTCGAGTTACAGGTAGTTGTAAGCTGCCTACATGCATTCTGGGAAACAAACAGTACACCACTGAGCCATCTCCCTGTCTAGCCCTGAAAACATCCCTTAGTTCTGCTGATCAGAACTAAATCACAAGTGCACTGCACAATGTAAACATGTACTTTGGGCTACATATTAAATTCAAAAATGGAAAGATTAACAGAGGCGGAGCGTGGCGGCACACACCTGTAATACCAGTGTCAGGGAAGCTGAGACCAGAAGATCTCAGGCCTGGGTCACACAGTGAGACCGTCTCAACAACAATGGACAGTGACCTGAAACCTAACCTTGTAAGTTCTATTCTTCTCCTGCGAAATTAGAAAACCATTATTTTCTTCTGCACGTGTTTCCGAGCCCGTATTTCACTGTGAAATAGATGGTGCAGAATTCAGCCTTGAATCCCTTCAGTGCAGTCAATATTTAGCTTTATTCCATTTCATAATGGACAACAGATGCTCCCAAATATAAATACTTTAATCCAACTTTAGTCCAGTTCTATATTTAGAAGAACTAGTCACAAGACAGTGGAGAAATTTAATTTCCCAGTAGGCCACATTTTGTTCTCAGTATCATATCATACTGTTACATGGTTGTTTTGTTCCTGATAACATGTCCAGCCTATCAACACTGAGAAAGACAAACTGAATGATAATTTATTTCCAAAACAGAGTTTGAGGTTAGAGAACCACGGTGTTTGAATGACTGTGGCCCCATGGCCTCATGTGTTTGAATACTTGGTCCTTGGTTGGTGGAACTGTTTGGGAAGGATTGGGAAGTGTGGCCTTGTTAGAGGAGGTGTGTTCCTGGAGGTGGACTCAGAGGTATAAAAAGACTTGTGCCATTCCCAATGTCAATCACGCTCCTGGCTGTGTCTCAGGATGTAAGCTCACAGCCACATCATAGGCCGTGCCTGCCTGCCTGCTTCTGTGTTCCCTGTCACGATAGTCATGGACTCTAACCCTCTGAAATGTAAGCCCCAGATTAAATGCCTTCTTTCCTAAGTTGCCTTGGTCCTGGTGTTTTATCACAGCTATAGTAATGTAACCAAAACAAGAACCTTGTTTGGACTTGAATAACTGTTTTTGCCTCGGTGTTTGGGGACATTTTGTGACAAAGCCGGGGAGAGACACAGTTTAGGACTGAAGTTGACATAAAAGGCAAAGAACAGGGACAGAGATGCTCTGTGGCTTTGATGAGGTAATTGAAGTGTGAGGTCAAACCAAGCTAAAATAAAAGAAAATCACTGCATTTCTAGAGTTTCTAATTGTGTATTTGTTATTTATGGCAAACTTACCTGGGTATTTTATGAAGTGTCATAAACTCGGCTATTTTCCAGAAGTGTGCTAGACGATGAATGCACAGAATTCCTGTCAGAAACAAGGAAGACAGTACACTGGACTGAAGAGATTGCTCAGTGACTACAACCACTTCCTGATCTCGTAAATGACCCAAGTTTTGTTCCAAACATCAATATTAGGTGGGTCACTACTCCCTGAACTCCAGCTCCAGGGATCCAAAACCATTTTCAGGTCTCTGCAGGCATCTGCACACATGTGACTTTTGCACACATGCGCACACCCCTGCACACATACACTCCTACAAATAAAAGATATAAATCTTGAAAAGAAAATAAAGGTACCAGAGAACAAGTGATTTCAAAACACTTTTTTAAAATGTAGCTGAGCTGGACATCAAGAAGTGAGACTGGGGTTGGGGGGGGCACAATAAGAAAATGTGAGTTCTTGAAAATCAGCTGAACCCTAGAGCTGGCATTATCCTTAAGGTGCTTCCAATGGTTATGCCAGGTTTGAGTTTTAGTTGGCTGTAGATGAATTTCTAAACAGTCTTATTAAGCAAGAAACAGAGCCAAATACGGAGGCGCAAGCCGTAGAGATCAGAGCAATAGCCACCAACTAACCTTAGCTCACCACCTCGCCATAGCTTCCCAAGAGAGCCTCTTCCTGTCTAACCTGTGCCTTTATTACCTTGCTGTTCTGCCTTCTCATTGGCTCTTAACCCAGCCACATCACTTCCTCATCACTGACTGTCTATACAGACCTCAAGGTCTCTATGGTTGGTACTGGGATTAAAGGCATTTGACACCATGCTTGGCTGTGTCCTTGAACACACAGACTCTGCCTGCCATGTGATCTGATTAAAGGTGTGTGTTACCACTGCCTGACTTCTGTCTGTGGCTATGACCTCTGATCTCCAGGCAAACTTTATTTATTAACATACAAATAAAATATCACATTTCAGCACAAATAAAATCACCACAGTTGGCCTTGTGTGACCAACAGAAGCCAAAGCCAGGGATCACAGTAGAAAAGAAGGTAGGATCTGGAACATGGTGAAACAAGGTTCACTTGAAGCATGCTATCCTCAAGGGGAGAATCCATAGCAAATGTAACCCAGAAAATCAAGGTGCCCATCTCATCCTTCTCTATGGATGCAACAGAAGTCAAGAAAAATTCCCTTCAAGCTCTGTTAGCACAAACCATATGCCCATGGGTTTCCCACAGAAATGCATATTGCCTGGAAAGCCCAAATTAGAAATGGAAGTTTTGTTTTAGTTTGTTTCTTTTTATAGACTTGGGATTGTACCCAAGTCCTCGAACAAGCTTAGTGCCCTGCCACTAAGCTCCTAGAAACCAGGCCCCAGTTAGCAATAACCTCGGTCCTGTGGTTAATGAAGAGATGCACTTTAAATGCAGGCTTCAACTTTTTTCTCATAAATTTGTGAAATGATAGTTTAAAAAACTGATTAGCATATATGGAAACAAGCAATCAGGAATGCAAGTCAGCATGGATCTCTGTAGAAGTTGCCATACATTAACAACGACATGACCCTGTTAACCCTTTGGCAGATAGCCCAAAGACCTGCAGAGAAACTTAAAACTGAAAATGCTTACATGAGAAAATAAGCAAAACTCCAAGCCCATGCACTTATCTGAAAACACCAGAAAGAGAAGAGCAACACAGATCTTGAAGATACAGGAGTAAGATGATAATAAACACAAGAGCAAAAAAGAATGACGTAAAATAACAAGAACAAACAAACAAAAAACTCCACATACTTTTGGATCAGCAAAACCAACAGTGGTTCTGTGAGACCAGTGACCTTGGATTGGGGGTGAGGGGGTGAGTCTGGCTAAGAAAAGAAAGAGAATGCAAAAATAGATACACTCAGAATGGAAAAAGGTACAGCTGATAAGTAGGCAGAGATCACAAACGACAAAGGGATATATAAGTAACTTCAAAATAACTCACTTGGTAAGTTCTCTGGAATGAACAAAATACATGAAAAGTTTCCCAAATGGACTCAAAATTGGTCTTGAGACAGCAAGCACAGCACCTCATAATTCCCCTTTCAGGGACAATGGAACCAGACGGCTTCTCAGGAGAGTGCAAGACGTAGGTAAAGAAAGAGAACTCCAAACCTGAAATTTCAGTAGCAGAAGAGAGAGCCCCATCGGATCTGTTGTTTATCTAATCTCATTTGTTATCAGAGTCAAGAAGAGGGAAAGATAAGGGCAAAGCCCAGAAAATCATTAATATAAAAGCAAAAATGAATAGATGAATGAATGAATAAAGGCTGTTTAAATGCTAATTAGGAGTCTGGGCATTTGGCTCAGTTAGTAAAGTGCTTACGGACCAATCATAAGGACCGTAGTTTGCTTCCCAACACCTGTATAAAAGAGTGGGCATATAGGCACTTGCCTGAAATGTCAGTGGTGGAATGTACTATGAGTCATCCTGGGGCTTGCTGGTAAACCAGGCCAGCTACATCGGTGAGCTCCAAGTTCACGAGTAACTAAGGAAGACACCCAAAGTCAACCTCTGTCCTCCATATACATGTGTACCCTGTGTGCCTACATGTCAATCACAAACATGTACACAGCCATACCAAAACAATAGTTAATTGAGCTCCTCATATATAGAAAAGGCAAGAGACCACCACAAAGTGGGGCCTATTCTAAAAATAGAAGTTAATTTAACATTAGAAATCTGGAGCTTATTGACGTATGAAAGAAGGACACATAATTTCAGTATGTTACAGAAAAAAATAGTTGATAACATTTAGTAATCATTTTAGAGACACATTCTCAGGGAACAAGTTATTAACAAGAATTTCTTTGACCAAAATAGGTGTGAAAAGAATTTAGAGCCAACTAGTAAGGCATCGTAATAATCCCCAACATAGCTATTTATGTTCAACTCTGGAGTGATTATAGGGTAATTAGAAAGGGGGAGCTGTAGGACTGGAGAGTAAATTATTTCTATTATTATTCAGGGATAATAGTGGAAGCACTGAAGGAATTATTCCCAAGGTAGAAAAACACTGGAATTAGGCTAGGAATATTTTAGCTAAGTCACCAGCTACAAGATTAATAAGTGATAACCAGTAACATTGTCATAAAATATCAAGAAGTAACTAGAAAATTAAAACATTTAAAATATGCTATTTATCTAAATAAAAATGAAAAAAAAGTTCCCAAGAAGAGGCCTTTTGGGTTTAAGTTTATTTTGAACCTATTCCTTAAAATAAAACAAACAGAAGCCTCAGCCGTCATTTGAGTGGAATTTCAGAAGGGAATAAAAGTAAAAACAGGTCTTTTAAAAGCAAACTTTCAATTGATTATTGCTTTTGACCCATCTGGACCCCACTTCTAAATGATGAGGTCCACAATCCCTAGATCTAAGCTAATTAATGAGCATCTCCAACCTATACACACATACACATACACACACATACACACACGCACACACAATTACCAATGACTGACAGGATCTCCTGAATCACGAACACACATCCACCAGTGTCACATTCACAGGACACATTCAGAGTCCTCTATCTCCCCCGCCCTCTCCCTGTGTCCTGAAGACTTCGCCACTCCTCACCCCAGTTCCATTCTGTCCTTGGGCTTCTTCCTGGGAGAAGACAGAAGTAAGTATATGGGTTCAATTTATCATTTAAATTTTTTTAAATTTGTTTATTTATCATTAGTGGTGTGTGTGTGTGTGTGTGTGTGTGTGTGTGTGTGTGTGTGTGTGTGTGTGTGTGTGTTGCCCATGGAACATACGTGAAGGGCAGAGGACAACTTTAGGGAGTCCACTGTCCCCTTCCACCTGAGTTCTAGGGCTAGAAATCACGAGGTTTAGGATTTCTCAGCAAGCACCTTTACCCACTGAGCCTGCTCAGCAGCCCTCAGGTAGCCAGTTTTTTTTTTTTTTTTTTTTTTTTTTTGGTTTTTCGAGACAGGGTTTCTCTGTGTAGCTTTGCGCCTGTCCTGGAACTCACGTGGTAGCCCAGGCTGGCCTCGAACTCACAGAGATTCGCCTGGCTCTGCCTCCCGAGTGCTGGGATTAAAGGCGTGCGCCACCACCGCCCCGGCAGTAACCAGGTTTTATCAAAGGTCTGCTGTGACTTTCCAGAAACATACGTCTGAAGGAAATCAGGCACTCACAGGGAAATCAGGTTAATCAGGTTTTTGTTTGGTAACCATAGACATAGAGTATGCCCTTTTGACAGCAGGGCAGGTGGTTCTGAGGAACTCCAACCAGTAGACTGCAATCACATTAATTGGCTGAGCTTGGACAAGTTTACTTAACCTGCACTGAGGTATTACCAGTGAGTGAGTCACAGTCAAGGATAACAAATGGTTCCAGGCAGACATTGGTTCCAGGCAGACATGAAAATATTGTAGTGTGTGGGGAGAGCTGATTCAATGTGACCTCTCTCAGAAGTAGGGTAAGAGAGTCCAAAGTGCCCTGATGGTAGGATATTGGTGCCCTTGCACATGAATAAACTAAGTGTGACCACAGGGATGGACCCCTTTCTGTCCTGTGACTGAGAGTGAAAGCAGTGGCCTGCCCTTTAGACCACCTGTTCACAAGTGCTGTGCACTGTTGGCTACTGCTGGGCTTTACAGGTCTCCGATATTACAAATGGACCTCAAGGCGGGTCTTCACAACTGACCTAGGTGTAGAAATACTTTTTCATGATGACCTTAAAAGATAACAGTAAAATTTAAAGAAAGTCAACAGTGTAAAGAACATTACTAATTTAGGCTGTGAATCCGTGTATCTATAACAGAACAAAATTGCAATTCTAATTTCTTTCAAAACTCATAACTCAGCACAAAATCAAATTTCCTTTCATCTTCAGAACTTCTGCCCTGTTTCCAAATCCCTGGAGCTCAAGGTAAACCCTCAAAGATTTCCCTCCTTTTAACTCTTACCTTCTCAGAACCATGAATTGGGAACCTTTGCTCAAAGCCCATCTGTCAGGGTGGGGCTTGTAATCAACATTGTACATTTTCAGTCTCAAACGATTGATCTAATGACTGCGAGCCTAGGAAGTCAG